AGAAAATCCAACAATACGAAAATCGACTCATGAAACAATGCTTCAAGGATGTGTGCACTCACTTCCAATGCAGGCTGGCTCAATCACTCACTTTTGCAAAGCCAATCGACGATTGAGCAATCCGAACTGTACAGAAGAGTTGCTTTCCAATGTCGTCATCCCGGACAATGTCCTTCGGTTCACAAAGGTATAGCAATCTTGTGGTGGATGCAATCCGTGGCTCGGGAGGAGGTGCTTGACCAATACACGGCCAATGCAGAAAAACAAAACGTTGCTGTTTCGACAATGGGCGCTCCACGCCCAATGTCCTTGGATCTGCTGCCTCCAATCCTTTCTCTCACTCGTGAGTGACAATTGCCTCGATGCCGTGCGGCAATGTCAATCTCACCTGCGCGTTCTCTGTGGCAATGCGCGATGCCACTGGGGCAATGTGCTGCCCAATTTCTTCTTCTTCATTGCGGTCCCCAATGGTTGCCAATTGGGGCACCTTTTCTACCCCGGCTAGGGCCAATGGAAAGATAAGGTGCCGGTGAACCCCGGAGCCCGCGTAGCAGCTATAGCAGTCCTGCAGATAGCCAATGGAGCATTGCTTTGCAGACAATCGGAGGTTCACGCTGAAGCAATTTTCCAACTCGACGTTGGAAAATGTGTGCAATCCATCCGGCCCTGCCGAAATGATGCCGCAATAGGAGGAGCCAATATAGCTTGTGTTATGCCAATTGGCTTGGCCGCCGCGACCACTTTGTGTCTTCAATTCCGAGGACGTGGCCTCAATCGTTGGTCGCCAAAAGAGGGCAGACAATTCTGCCGACGCTTCAATATGGCCTTGGCGGTACCAATGAAGCGCTTTGGCAAGCGCGGTTGCCAATGTTTGGCACGGGTTGGCCTGGGCCAATGGCAACCACGAGAAGTCAGTCGCCAATCCTTGCGTGAGCGAGGCAATGGTTGCCGAGGGCAGAACCAATACCCAATAAAAGGCACAATGCCGTCTTCAAAGTTGCAATGCCCTTTGTACGTCAGGGTGACTTGAGAGGCAATCTGTTGAAGCCAATGCTCTCCTCGGAACCATGTGTTCTGCACCAATGCAGACATGTTGACAATGCTGCCAATGGTGGCGCTCACCAATCTTTCCTTCACATAGCGAATCAAGTAGGTGGCCAATCCTGCAGGCATGCCAGGAGAGGCGAATTGGCACGTTGCGAAGCAATTAAATGCCAACATCGTCGGGGGCAATGTGCTGTCCATCAATGCTCCGGAATAAGTACAATGCACCATGGAGCATTGCAAATGCAATCCTTCCAGGGTGCTGGCAATTTGCCTCAAATGCCCCAAGGCAATGCTCGGGGCTTGGTGGCCAACTTCCACCAAGACGCGTTCAATCAGCTGAATCACACGTGCAACTTGCATCGCGCTGTCCAAATCGCTGATGAACAAGG